TTCCAAATACTTGTAGCCCGTATTCGTCAGGTTGTAACGCCTGCTCAGCAAACGCACCGCGCGATGCTCCATACTGTGTACATATATAATATTGAAAAACGTTATTTATTGTATAAGAAACGTTTCATTTTGCGTAGAACGTTAAAACTTACGTGTTACTGCAGTCTTTCTTCGTTTCGTACGATGTATTGCTCTCTTTGGCGAAGTACATTTTGTCGACCGTCCGTACAAGTGGATATCGCAAGATTGATCGTTCCCGCGTAAATTGCGGCGTATAAGGTAAAACTTTTAGAATCGAAGAGGGGGTAACTCCTCCCCTTTTTTCCAAGAATTGCGAACGTGTCGCAACACGTTTTTTTTTCTACGTATTTTCTTTGTTCGCGGTAACCCTTCCCCTTTTTTCCAAGAATTGCGAACATGTCGCGACACGTTTTTTTTCTGTATATTTTCTTTGTTCGCGAGTTTTATCAATGTTTATACGTTATGGCTTATACGACGACGACGACGACGACGGTGACGACTTTGTTGCTTTTTCCCAAGGATATTTCCAATATTTAGTTTCTTCCTTCTTCTTCGGCGAGGTACTTTGCAATTCTTTCTGCAAGAGAGGTTCCCTTTCGCTCGGAGACCCCTCTCGCTCGACAAATTTTCGATGCAGATAACCTCTTACTCGGTCCATGTCTTAACGCCCGTAATCGAAATTTACGATTGACCGAAAAAAGCCTTATACACTGCCTATATACGTTTATACGTACACGTTTATACATACGTTTAAACGCACACGTTCGTACATACGCGTTTATACGTTATGGTCTATATATATATATTATGGTTTATATTTCGATGACGTTGACGGCGTTGACGTGTTTTCAACAGGGCATTCCCAATATCTCACTTCCTCCTCCTTCTTCGGCGGTGGACTTGGAGGACCTGGCGAAGGTACGGGACGGTACCCCTTTCGCTCGACCAATTTTCGGTGTATGTAGTCTCTTACTCGATCCATGTTTTAACGCTCGTAATCGAAACTTGCGATTGAACGAAAAAAGCTTTATACACTATCTATATACATTGCATATATGCACTGTCAGATCGGACATGTCACGTTTATACGTACACGTTCGTACGTACACGTTTATACGGACACGTTTATACGTACACGTTAATACGTACACATTTATACGTACACGTTCGTACGTACACGTTTATACGGACACGTTTATACGTACACGTTAATACGTACACATTTATACGTACACGTTCGTACGTACACGTTTATACGGACACGTTTATACGTACACGTTAATACGTACACGTTTATACGTACACGTTCGTACATACACGTTCATACGTGCACACATTTATACGTACACGTTTATACATACATACATACACGTTCATATATATACATGTAGGAAGGGAAAAAAGAAATATGTAATCAATACGTTAACGTATTTTTATTTAAAAATTCTTGCGCAACCACCAGTTATATATTTTAAATA